ATTAAATTCTCAGTATTACAGAGTGGAAGCATGGAAGCATGTTTCCTCTACTTCAGGTGTGTGAACCACCATCCGTGAGCCAACTCAGCAACCATGGTAGACCTAGGAAGTCCACCCTTCCTCCTGAAATCCAAACTTTGTTGTCCTTCTTAGGAGTCCTACACCCTTTCCTATCGGCTTTGTTATCATTTTAACTTATCTCCACGTAAAGGAAATGTGCCTGCTAATTCACAATTCAAAATTTGGAAAGATGAATATGTTGATCTTTTCCTCTGAAATGTTCATCTCTTCTCTCCCCAATTTGACTCTTGTAGTATCTCTCACTCAGATATTGATTTAGGCTGTCTTCAGATCTAATTAAACGATAGCAACAGGGACCTTAAGGTAGGCAACAGTGGGGGAGCCATTATAATTTCGTCTTTGGTAGAAGGCAGACCCTTTCAAGTCTGGGTAAGTAACTAGGAGCAAATCCAAGGAACCATAATGGGTTTTCATATTCAGCATCAGAAGCATAGTTATCACAACCAAAAAGAATTCATAGTGTTGCTATATGCTACACACAACTGCAATGATCTTGTCTTTCTGCTCAGTTTGTGCAACAGCGAAATTTATAGCAAAAGCCAACCTGTAGGTTAGGCATCTGGATGGGCTAGTCATACTGCTCTTTTCATGTCCTAGGAACACAGAAAGACTTACTGCATTTGGCATAGCTACTACTAGACGTGCTAATTTCTCACCCATTTGGTGACCAGCAAGGAGTCTGGTGGTACTGGTAGGCGTTGGCCTTCACTGCAAGGCTGGTGGTTCCCCAAGGGTTTCCCTCCTTGGGAAAAAGCAGGTTACCTGCTCCTGTGAAGATTGCAGCCTCAGAAACCCTGTGTCTGGTTGCTATGAATTAGAATCAACTCAGTGGCCATGGATTTTTTATTTTGTGATGACCAACAGATACCGTGAGCATTGTTTAAGTAGAAAAGAAAAAAATATGTGGTTTAAAGACTCCTAATTTCTTTGTGGACCCTGTGTAGGCCTGCTCTTTCCTCCACCTGTCTGAAATCCAGTATGCACCTGTGAGCATTGCCCAGATGGTCTCATCTTCCTTAAGTTAAATGGTCAAAACATGCTTCTGGACGCTTTTCTGTCTTGCGCTTTTCCAAAGGATGGTTTAGAATGAAGATTCGTGGTCATAGACTGGTTGTGGTGGTTGTTGCTTGTTGTTGTCAAGTCAGTTCCCACTCATAGCAACTATGTACAGCAGAATAAAACATTACCTGGTCCTGTGCCATCCTCAAAATTATTGTTATGTTTGATCTGCTTATTGAAGCCATTATGTAGTCCATCTCATTGAGAGTCTTCCTTTTTTTTCACTGTCCTTCTACTTTACCAAGCTTGCTGTCCTTTTCCAGGGACTGGTGTCTTCTCATAACACATCCAAAGTACACGAGGTGTCCTCGCATCTAAGAAACATTCTGGCTATACTTCTTCCAAGAAAAATTTGTTTGGTCTTTTGAAAGTCCATGCTACTTTTTAAATACTCTTCACCAGCACCATAATTCAACGATATCAATTCTTCGGTCTTCCTTAAAACATACTAAATCTAAGTCTATGACTTAGTAGGTGGTTTTAGTACATTTTCCAGATAAGACAGGGAATTGATCCAGGACTCAGATTTTGTGAGCTTGGTTGCGATCACAATGCTTAGGCAAATCATGACATTTTTAGTTGGCTCCTGCCAGATCCGTGTTGCCAGATCTTCTCTTATTTTCTCCTCACCCTCGAATGGTTAGACTAGTAGCCTCTTTCTTTGTTCTCCTCTCCTCTCATCAGGCTCTCATGTGAGACTGTCCTCTATTAACTCATGAAGCTCATGCAGAGAGTCCTTTAAGAGGTCTCAAAGAGTAACTGAGAGGATCTCTGGTTGCCATAGTGGGTTGCATAGTTAACTGCTAACCACAAGGTCAGCAATTCAAATCCACCAGCCACTCCATGGAGAAAGATAAGACTTTCTATTCCCATAAAGAAACCCATAGGGACAGGGCTATGCTGCCCTATAGATTCATTAGGAGTCAGAATTGACAGCAGTGAGTTTGGTCATTTTCGGAAGAATGAGTATACATTCTGGTATCTAGAGGTGGTTTTATATCTTCATTGGGAATAAAAAAAAGTCTCACACTGGAAATGTGTAGGACTTGAGGGAGACTTGCTCTGTTTTTATTAGTTACCTATGCCATAGAACATGAACTAAATTAGTGTCATTTTAATGTTTTGATTTGTTTTTCTAGTACGTGGCTACTTTTCTCAGTAATTAGAAACTCTGATATTTAATAGACATTCTTCTGGTGTTCCATCTTAACGTGGATTTAGTATGCAGAAATGGGTGTTAGTAAGCACTTAGTTGAGTAAAGGGCCAAATACAAACAGCAACTATGTGACCACTATTCACTTTTCTTCAAAGTTGATCTTAAAATCCAGTTTTTTATAGCTTAAATACATATTGATAGAGAAGTATCTATGGGAATCATTTTCTTTGGACAAAACTCTTTCCTTGGTCATCTTAATTTCTTCTAGCTTCTGAACACTTTGCCTTTCACTTCAGTGAGGCTTCATTGACTAATTTCTGAACTTTTTATGGCCAGTAAAATGACTGTATATAAAGGCATAGTGGAAATGATGGATAACTTAGTTTTCATAAAAGCCTAAGTGGATGAGGGTTTCTTCTTGCTACCCAAAGTACTACTAACTGCCAACATCAGTCATGATCTAATCTTTCACACCTGATGATAATTTCCCAGCAGCTAGATCCACAAAATAATGGAATGTGTGTACTTGTGGAGGTGCCTTCTCCATCTTTGTAGCTTTTCCGAGATTCCTTCGGAGACCATTGGTATAAAAGAACCCGTGGTTTCAGTAACTCTTCAGGAGCCTAGCTCATAACTGGAATGCCCTCTTTCTAAGTGAGCCACTTTCTGTCGTCTTTTCTAGGGTGGACGACTAGTGCTAGTTCAGTCCATTGCCAGCATTCTTTCCTTGGCCACTCACCAGACTCAGGGACCCCTGCCCTCTTATTCTGTTTCAAAGGAAGACCTTCAGTAGATACGTATCTACTGTCCAGGGCCCTGAGGTTATTTTTTGTTCTAAAGTCCATTCACCCAATAAGAGTCAGTTGTTAATGACTGCAAGGAACTATTTCAGTTCCGTTTCTTGGTCCCTGTTATTGATCACTGCCCACGTGAGGAGATCCTCGGGCCTCCTGAGGTTTGTTGGGGTGACGTGTAAGGAACCACTGAACTCTGCTATTTAGGGTCTGTGCATGATTCTTGTCACATTACTTGGATGACTGTTATTTGTGGATCCTGGCCTAAGTCACTGTGAGGTTCTCCTTGTGCTCTAATTGGCAATGTTCTCTTGGCTTATATGACTCAGTCCTTCTGGCCATAATGGGATGATAATTGGGTTGACTTTCTGCTTCTCTGTTTTTAATACCACTTATTCCTGGGCTCTGGTTTTGCTAACTTATTTTCTCATCTTCTGAAAATTAACTATTGGTTGAGGGTCAGCCTTCCTATTACATGCAAGCACTTATAAAATAATCAGCAATTGTTTGGGCAGTCTGGTATGGAAGGCAGCCTTTCTGTCAGAGCGAGTCAGCATTTCTTACTTAGCTGCAGCATAGTGCGGAAACCAGTATAATGTTCGGCTTTTCTTCTGTTCTTCTGTGGAGCTCTATGTGCAGCAATTTTTTTTGGACTTTGACTGTTGCCCGGCCCATCATTCATCTTCCCTGTCTTCTCCTTGCTAAGTACCATATGTATTGTTTGAGGGAAGTGGCTTCTTGGGGTAGGCACCTCAGGGGTAGCAGTAGAGTAAGGGTAGGCATAAGTCTTTGGAAATCATCTTATGTGAGTGGCTTGAAAAGAATGGTCATACCTGGAGAAGAAACTCCCCAGTATCGAGTAAACAATTACCTTCAGGCACTTTGGGACACAGGTAAGTAAATGCTACGTGCCTCTCATGGTACGTTTATGCTGTGGACAATTTTAAATGCCTGACCTTTTGAATGGTTCACTTTCTAAATGCCTTCTGTACAGGTGCTTTGTAAATACCGTATATACTCGTGTATAAGCCAAGTTTTTCAGCACATTTTTAATGAAATTTTGTGGTAAAATTAGGTGCCTCGGCTGATATTTGGATCGGCTTATACTCGAGTATATACGGTATATCAATTGATGGGAAAATTTAGAAGAAATGTGCCCAAGCGTGCAGGCCAGACCTCAGGATTTATAGCAAGATGCAGGATGAATATGTCTTCACTGCCTGTGTAGCAGTCTGGTGCTTCCTGGCACGTTGTAAGCACTCAATAAATGTTCATTGCTATTAGTATTATTACAAATATTATTATTATTTAGAGTTGAATGTGAGACATTAGTGTGAAAATTTCTCAGTTGCAATAGACTATTCTCTTTTAAAATCTTAATATTTTCACATCCCAGAGATTTACTTTATGACTGGGAACATATTGTCTCTAGGTAAAACAAGGAATTAATTCTTTGTGTAGCTTAGTGCTAATATAGCAGTTTGACTCTAATAATTGCTTTCAGTCATAGAGTAAGTAAGTAGGACTGTTTCTTATTAACTTGTTGAGGCATCATGAAATGTTTTTCCAACCCAAGACCCCATCCAGAGACCAAACAGAAATTTGAACAGGAAGAAAAATAATAGATCATTCTTTTTATACTTTTGCATAAATTCTAATTCTATAAATTTGTGTGTGTGTGTGTGTGTATGTGTGTAGCAATTCTTAATGTTTCATTTAGTTTTATTTTTAAATATCCCTTAAGGAGCCTCCCCCACTTGAGTTATAAGACTGGTGTGGACACGCTTAATGACATTTGGCCTGAGATATCCTTTTATTAATTACCCTGCATGATCCTTAATCATTATTCTTCTCCTGGGCAAGAGTACCTTCTAAACATTTACACATAGCTGTGTTTTTTCTCTTGCAGTTGAACTGGCAATGATCATGGACCGTTTGTATGGTGGAGTCTGCTACGCTGGGATCGACACAGACCCAGAGCTGAAGTACCCCAAAGGTGCTGGCCGGGTGGCGTTCTCCAATCAGCAGAGCTACATTGCAGCTATCAGTGCTCGCTTTGTGCAGCTCCAACACAATGACATTGACAAACGGGTAAGCCCCTGCCTGCTCAGTGGATTTGCTCTGGGAAAGAAATGCGCTTTGTTTCTTGGGCCCCTGGGGAGAACAGTACCTTCTGATCACATGATAGCAGCTCTACCGTACTCGACATCTGTGAGTCCATCTAGGATGGCTGAAAAAGAGAGTACCAGGGGTATTTAAGGTGTAAATAGCTGTCTGCCTGACTCATCCCAAGGGTGACGTTATACTTAGGAAGATAACTCTGCAGAATTTAGCTTGCCAACCAGTGATATTCTAAAGATGATGCCAACCTTTCAGCAAAGGTTGAAAGCTGGTGACCTGTTTGACCCATGAAATATTCTAAAAACAAACACAAACTGGGACTAACATTTCAATGTTCAGGAGAATGCATAAAAATGTGAATTTCTAGTTTCTCTTAAAATTGCAAGATCACTGAAGTCAAATAGTACCCTCTCCAAATCCCATCACTAAGTTACACACCATCTATGTGTATGCATTACCTATCGCTTTAAATATTGCTGGTACCTTTCTGGTCTCAGGAGGCTTTGGAGCACATTACCCTCATCTAAAAGATGGAGTAAGAGATACAATTGATAGGTAGTTGGTGTGTTGAGCTGGTGTGCTGGGTAAATAGACTTGGGTTTTAAATCCTTTAAATCCTGGTTCGGCCACAATTTGGGGCTTCAGGGAGTGGAAGGAGGTAAGAGCTGTAATCTGGGACCTATATTAATAGGTAAAGGACAAGTGGGAGAATAACATCAAACTTTGAGTACTTTCCTTTGCAATAGTACAGTGACGATTAATGCTTGTTGCAAACGGTGTTTTTGGAACATACACTTGGCTAGAATAAAGTAAGTACAGGGTGTCCACCTCAGGAACCTCCAGTTTGCTTTAATGTTATGTAAATGTGCCCTTACTCTAAGCTGATGGAAAGAACCCCTGTTATCAACAAATTCTTCATCACCACAGCTTCACGTGCTGCAGCCCAGCTTCCAAATCACGGAAGAGGCTTGAATCCTTTTCATCTTCTAAAGTAAGGTTAAGTAAGAACTCTCTGTACTTGTTCCAACTCACTACCAGTTCCACATGAAGAGTTAAGGACCTAGGAACTGATCTCCTTAGTAACCTGGGCCTGCTTGAAGTCAATAGACCCTATTCAGAAGTTTCCCCTGTACTCTGTGGTTGAATTGAACAAATTTTGTGTAGAAGGCTTACATTGCTTAGAAGGTGAAAGTTTCAATTGGCAATGTATTTTTCACATTCAGAAAGATTGTGTTCTCAGTAATGTATATTGTTAAATTATAAAAGCTTAGAATAAACACTATTTGCTACATTATTTGGCTTTCACATAAAATTAAGTGCTGATTGTTGCTTTGATTGTTAATGAAAATGAATAAAGTAAAATTTCCTCAGAATCTTGAAACACCCTTTTAATTAATGGAGATGTGGAGGGTTGACAAGAGTCATCTCCTTCTTAGTTTTCAAGCACTCATACCATTCCGAACCCATTGCGGTGGAGTTCATTTTGACCCCTGCTGATCCTGTAAAACTAGCACAGAGTAAAACTGTCCCTTTTGTGTTTCCATGGCTGTAATCTTTACAGAAGCAAGACTGCCACATCTCTCTCTCAGAGAAGCTGGTGGGTTTGAACTGCTAACCTTTCAGTGAGCAGTGAGTGCTTAACCACTATACTACCAGGGCTCCTTCTACCATCCTATGTAGCCCCTCTTATATCGGCCTTCCAGCCTTCCAGTGTGTACACTCTATGAAGACAGTCATGGTGCCTTCCTCATTCTCTGCTTGAAAACCAGTACTTACCCACTGCTTGATAGAGATAGATACAGTAGTAGATGTTTTTTTGTTTTTTGTTTTGCCATTCTTACTTTTTTTTTTTTAAACATTTTATTAGGGGCTCATACAACTGTTATCGCAATCCATACACATATCAATTGTGTAAAGTGCATTTGTACATCGTTCTCAAAACATTTTCTCTCCACTTAAACCCC